GATAGACAAGGTTTCTCCTAAAATTACGTGCTTTTCAGATTGTGATTGAGCTTTTTTATATATCTTATGGTGACATTAGAGCTCGAAAGGACAACTTTAGATATCTCTAAATGGAAGCTCATCTTTTGAATTGAAGGATTGAAACTGCTTGGACATTTATGTTTTGTATGGTAGAATATGTATTGCTTTGAGACATTTGAGCAAATATCCATGTTTCAAAAGGCGTTTTTATCCGGGTCAATCTCTTATCTTGTGTTAATGGTTTCCTCATTCTTCCTCTTTTTGTTGGACCAATTGCCTAAGTTGTATCTTCTTGATCTTTGTATTACTGTTTGAGTGTGGTACTTGGTTTCGTCCATACTTCAATTCTGTAGTATTCACTTTCTTTTTCGATATGTTTTGTTTTATATCTAATTCAGCTGCACCTAAGCAAGTTAAGCATGAAGGTCATAGAGCTCCGCCTAAAGAACCTAGCTGTGCGGAGAGTGGTTCCTCAACACCTCTAATAAGTGGGGAATTGAAGTATTCTTCTAAGCTACGGATTTTCATGTTTAATGATCTCAAGTTAGCCACTAGGAATTTCAGACCAGAGTCTCTTCTTGGTGAGGGTGGGTTTGGATGTGTTTTTAAAGGATGGATAGAGGAAAATGGAACGGCGCCAGTCAAGCCTGGTACTGGTCTTACTGTAGCCGTCAAAACACTAAACCCAGATGGCCTTCAAGGTCACAAGGAGTGGCTGGTAATGACCAAACTCTTTTACTTTGATAGTGGTTACAGTCTTGTGCTTTGGTCTCTATGGACAATTGTTGATCATTTTTCTATTGATGGGTAGGCTGAGATTAACTTCCTTGGAAACCTTGTTCACCCAAGTCTGGTTAAATTGGTGGGCTATTGCATGGAAGAAGATCAAAGACTGCTCGTTTACGAGTTTATGCCTCGGGGGAGTTTGGAGAACCATCTTTTCAGAAGTATGTCAATCACAAACCGTTGGGCATCTTCTTGTTTTGAGGATTCTTGTTTATTTACTGTTTTTTTTGTTTTTCATTTTGGTTCAGGGACTTTACCCCTCCCTTGGTCTGTTAGAATGAAAATTGCACTTGGTGCAGCTAAAGGACTCGCCTTTCTTCATGAAGAAGCTGAGAAGCCAGTCATTTATCGAGATTTCAAAACATCTAATATCTTACTAGACGCGGTATGTCTGAAGCCAAAAGCTCGATTAAACTTCACAATTCCTCTTATTCTCTCCATTCTTATTGTTATTGGAAACAAATGTTCATATTTCAGGAATATAACGCAAAGCTCTCTGATTTTGGGCTTGCAAAAGATGCTCCAGACGAAAAAAAATCCCATGTATCAACCCGAGTCATGGGAACGTATGGTTACGCAGCCCCTGAATATGTAATGACTGGTGAGTGAGGTATCCTTGCCGTTCGTTTTGTTATCTTATTATTGATCAAATTAATTTTTAGACTTACTGATTTCAATTTCAACATCAGGACATTTGACGACAAAGAGTGATGTATACAGCTTTGGAGTAGTTTTACTTGAAATACTAACTGGTCGAAGATCCGTAGATAAAAGCCGCCCAAACGGGGAACAAAACTTGGTTGAATGGGTGAAACCTCATCTTTTAGACAAGAAAAGGTTTTACCGTCTATTAGATCCGCGGTTAGAGGGTCATTTCTCAATCAAGGGTGCTCAAAAAGCCACACAAGTAGCAGCACAATGCCTTAACCGAGACTCCAAAGCTAGACCAAAGATGAGTGAAGTTGTTGAAGCCTTAAAGCCATTACCAAATCTTAAAGACTTTGCTAGCTCTTCTTCTTCTTTCCAAACAATGCAGCCTGTTGCCAAGAACGGAATCAGAACACAAGGAGGAGGGTTTGTGTCGAGAAATGGACCGCCTCTGAGGAGTTTGTCTACCTTAAACCTGCCTCCTCAAGCATCGCCTTATCATTATGCCCGTCAATCACCAAAGCCTAAAGGGAAAGAGCCATGACTTCAAATATAGGAATTTTAGTTCTTTCAACGTCTGACCGAGGTCTCGCCGATTGCAGCTGGATGTTCAGCTTCCTGTTTTCATTGATTCTTTTCTGATTCAAGAACAATATTCTCTTTGTTGCAGCCGTTTTTAACACAGAGCAAAGAGATGGTCTGTGGAAACTGAAGCTTGCCCAATGGTTTATGTTCTTTGAGTTGATGGAAACTCAGGAAAAAATATCTTTGGTCCTGAAGGTCTAAAGATTTTGATATGTGATTTTAATGTGTAGAAATGTAAAAGGTTGAGAGTGTAAAGTTTTCTCTAAAGGATAAAAAAAAAAATCTGTTGTCTGTAATAATAACTTGTGTTTATCTTGTAAAATTTGTTCTGCTATGCATTGATTTTTTCTTATTATAATCCACTCAGAGAGTTTTGAACAAAATATAGAAAACAAAAACTGTTTCTCTTCTTTACACTCATCTGCAGATTTCAAATGCGAAGATGCTGAGAAAACTACTGACGCGAACACCTTCTCGCCGTCTTCTCTCCTTCACTGTTCCATTCTTCTCCAAATCATCTGTTTCGCCGTTTTCCTCACTCTCTTCTTCACCGGAGCCTCCGACGAACAGCACCGTTGAACATGTCGAAGATTCAGGTGCCTCCGTCGGAACAACCATCTCCGTCGACCGCTCTGCTCTCTTCAATCCTCCTGGTGCGTATTTCACCCACCCCTTCGACTCTCTCTATCTCTCCGATGTATGATTCAATTTGACAGATTTGGGGTTTTGATTCTTGCCTTGTAATTGTTGTTGTTGGGGGAAACAAGATCACTCTCATGATTGCACACCAGATTCAGAGCTCGTTAAGCACCTCAAGAGCATTATCAAGGTATCTTCGATTCATACATTTTGTATAAAGGGTCTGAAGTTTTGATCAATTTGGTGTGCATCACACAGTTTCGAGGTGGTCCGATCTCAGTTGCAGAATACATGGAGGAAGTCTTGACTAATCCTAATGCAGGATTCTACATGAATCGTGATGTATTTGGAGCTCAAGGTGATTTCATTACTTCTCCTGAAGTTAGCCAAATGTTCGGCGAGGTAAAAATACTCATGTTTTTCAGGAGTTATGCATTTGTGTATGATTTTGAGATTGGTGTTTGCTTACTCGGTGTTTTGAATCTCAGATGATTGGTGTTTGGACTGTGTGTCTTTGGGAGCAAATGGGAAGGCCAGAGAGGGTCAATCTCATTGAGCTAGGTCCAGGTCGTGGAACACTCATGGTCGATCTTCTTCGTGTATGTATTTATGCTCTTGTGCTTTCTTCTTGTTTCCCCAAAACCACCAAGACTATCTCACTGCTGTCTGCTGGGGGCTTTTCACTTATAGGGTACATCAAAGTTTAGGAAATTCACGGAGTCGTTGCATATACACTTGGTGGAATGCAGTCCTGCATTGCAGAAGCTTCAGCACCAGAACCTGAAATGCACAGACGAAGAAAGTAATTCGGAGAAGAAAGCTATAAGTTCACTAGCTGGGACACCTGTGCACTGGCACGCTACTCTTGAAGAAGTACCATCAGGAGGTATGCATATTTTTGTTACTTTAAGTTGGCATTTGCAACTCTCTAATTGTGTTCATCAGTGAGGTTGTGATCTTAATATAGACAAAGTCAATGTGAAATATGTGTAAGCACTCAAAACAATGATGCTTTGCATCTTTTCTCATGGTATCCCTTTTTCTCTCTTGCTTTTGTGGCAGTACCAACAATAATCATAGCTCATGAGTTTTATGATGCTCTTCCAGTTCATCAATTTCAGGTTAGTGTGGGTCATGATTCATCTTTATATATAGAAACATTCTCTGTAGAGCAGTACCAACAATAATCATAGCTCATGAGTTTTGAATATGTGTATCTTAACTAGATTCAATCTCTGTAGAAATCTTCCCGTGGTTGGTGTGAGAAAATGGTTGACGTGGGAGAAGATTCACAGTAAGTATTAGGGAAATCAAAGAAAATGGAAATATTTCGTTTGCCAGATTTGGAAAATCAGGCATATTTGATCGATGCTTTGTTGGTTGGTTTAGGTTCCGTTTTGTTTTATCCCCACAGCCTACACCTGCAGCCTTGTATCTCATGAAACGTTGCACGTGGGCTACACCTGAGGAAAGGGAGAAACTCGAGCATGTTGAGATCAGCCCGAAATCAATGGAGTTGACCCAAGAAATGGCCAAGAGAATAGGTTCTGATGGAGGTGGAGCACTTATAATCGATTACGGGATGAATGGAATCATTTCAGACAGTCTTCAGGTTTGTGGCCTCAAAATGTTCTGATCATGCTTTATAGAAAGCTCTGTATCTGAATCTATGGATAGGATTTAACCATATTTTCTTTCCACTCTGTTATCACAAAATGGGTAGGCTATTAGGAAACACAAGTTTGTCAATATACTGGATGATCCCGGGTCTGCAGATCTAAGTGCTTATGTCGATTTTCCTTCAATAAAACACTCCGCTGAAGAAGCTTCAGGTTCATTTCTATACTTGCTGCCAGTGTAATATATACATTTAACTTCCTTAACCAATATCAAATACGTGTGTTGTTCAGAAAATGTCTCAGTCCATGGACCTATGACTCAGTCTCAGTTCTTGGGTTCGCTTGGAATAAACTTCAGAGTTGATGCGTTGCTGCAGAATTGCGACGATGAGCAAGCTGAGTCCTTAAGGTCAGGATACTGGCGGCTTGTTGGAGATGGTGAAGCACCTTTCTGGGAAGGACCCGATGAACAAACGCCGATTGGAATGGGCACAAGGTATCTCGCAATGGCTATTGTCAACAAAAACCAAGGCAGTCCGGCTCCATTCCAGTAAGCAAGATTCAAACTTTCACAGGAAAAAAAATCATATTTTGGTCTCTCAGTAAAAGTAATAAAAGCTTTTATGAACTCTATAGTTATTATTGCTATATGTTCCAATCAAAAATTCTAGAACACCAAATTTGTTCGATCTGTAGCATTCTCATATTTGAAATTTACGTAATTTACCAACTAAGCTAAAGGGAGAAGATGATCTAAAAACTATTAAAAATCTCTATTTAGGTTTTCTAGAAAACGCTTAGCTACTTGAATCATGATATATGTTAGCTGTTCTAGAAAGTAGAAGGGTGAATCGATCACGAATAATATTTGCGCATCTCTTCCTCTGCAATGGATCGCAAGGAGCAAATATTATGTTGCTGCTTACTATGCTTTGATGTTAGATGGGTACTGCTGCCTACTGTTTGATGTAGTGAAGGTATACACTCTACATCTCACGCAGATAAAACATTAGACCCCTCATCAACGATGATCTATGAATATTAACAACTGTGTTCTTTATTTTTCTGCTAGACAACTGTACTTTTTCATACACTTATTATTCATAGATCCATGGACTGATACTAGCAGCCTGGACAATAAGATGGTGAAGCTCTTTTCTATAAAGGGCTCGATGAACGGACAAGCATTGGAATGGGCACGAGGTG